GTCATTTATACAATTCTTTTTTACTTTTATGTTAATGACTGAATCGCAACCCGTTATTTTCAGAAGTGAAGCAATACCAGCAAAGTAAATTGCAAACATTTTTACTCACTGCTCAATCAAACAAAATGATTAGTTTTGTCTTTACACTGAATAATTGAAAAATAAGTTCACTAATTTATGCTGATGATCTTGTGTTAATCTCTAAAACAAATATGTGATGTAGATCAATTGATATGTGATTCAGATCAGTTGATATATGATGTTGTATACCAGGATGTGTTTTTTTCATGACATGACCACATCTTCCGTTAAACCTTCGAGGTACTAATTTTTTTGTTTTGGCTCTCTTTGTCAGCCATTTGTTTTGAGCCCATAAACTTACACTTTTTATTAAATAATTTACTATTATGATATAAATATGGACTGTGTTTAGTGTTATTATTTAACAAATAACAACTTTCTTCAAAACCCAGAAACTACAGTAACAGTACTACATTTATTACTTAATTTAAAACAGCTATGAATTAAAATACCAATGAATGGATATATACACTGACTGCATGCACCACATTTGTACATATATTTCCTAGGTATAACTCTGCAATAATTTCATCTCCTCATCGTTAAAACTTTGAAATGTATTTATAGGACAGCTCTTTTCACCTTTATTGGTTTTTTCATGTGAACTGGAAGTTCCATTCGTGCACGAAGTTCCGCGAAGGGATGAGTTACATTTTGTTTTTTTGCAATGCCTTTCTTGGCCTACTGTTCGAATGACAATGTCATCTTCTGCGGAATAAATTCCTAGCTTTTCTTGTAAGTCACGAGAAGCAAGTTGCATTGTTGTCTTTATCACTGTTGTTTGTCTTTGTGGCATAAATTTCTTTAATTCGTCAGATATCTTTGATCTTTTATCTGCGCAACAACAAAAAATTAATCATGTCTTAACTTATGGTAATATGTTGTTCAATCATTAAAAACCATATTAGAAGATGAATTCACAAATGAGAAAAGCTTGCAGATTCATTTCAAATGTATGTGTGTTATTAGAAGTCAATTCTCAAATAGGGAGTGCTTGCAAAAGATACATGTTACCTGTAGAGGCTCCATTGATGAAAGGTACACAGCAAACAATGAGTTTTTTAATGTAAATAACCTATGTTTTATGAATCTATGTATTAATAACAAGACATCAATGTCACAGTTTTTGAAGGCCACAAGTTAGGTCATTTTGAATTGCGAATATTATTAACACAGCATGAGTGATGTTACTACATTTACAGTTTGAATGAAATAAGTCCATCTATAGCTAAAATTTTTGATGTTTTTCAGGCTTAATCTTTTCCACGAAACGAAATGAAACCAAATAAAACGAAACGAAACGAAACGAAACCCTAACCCTAACCTTAGATTTTGAACGACCTCAAACATCGTCACGTCCGTATTTCACAGTGTGAAATTTTCTCAGATATTATTGGGCCAATGAAAACAAAAATGCGAGTTAGGGTTAGGGTTAGGGTTAGGGTTTGGGTTTCGTTTCGTTTCGTTTCCTGGAAAAGACTAAGCCTGTTTTTCAAGACAAAACTTTGCCAGTTTGAGAAAGGTTAAAACAAAATGTAAAAGAAATCACCATGCAGATATAGACCTTTATACTTTGTACAAACACTGAATGAAATCAGTCCAGGCATGTCCAATAAATGAAGTCATACATGTATGCATGCACGAACAGTCAGAATTGAAAACACAAATCTCTGAATATCTAATTGAATAAATAAAATATTTTTGAAAAACCTTTTAATTTTCCCAAAAAATTATAAATTGAAGCTTACATACTGTTGCCATGCATCATTCTGATTTTTACAGGATGATGATCAATGTGGTCTCTATGCCGATGTGATGCATAAGTGACGAACAAAGATTCTACATGATGTAACTCATTACGATCATAAAATGGCATACTTTCAATTTTTAAGATGTTGTACTTATAGTTATGTAATTTATAATTTGAGTGATATAAAATTGGCATTTTATAAACAAGGATTAGTGTAAAAATATGGAAATCAGCTGTCACAACAGTTTAGTTTGGATCTTCAGCCAAATACAATCTTTAAAGTTATCTTGAATAACTCTCTCTAGCAGTCTCAAAGCACTCAACTTTTTTAGAATTCAAACGTGACTCCAAATTCTTACAAATTATGATCGTCATAATGTTAAATATGGGTCCCATGTTACAAATACAATTACCATGCCTAAAATACATTGTTCTCATGGTGGACATCGCCCTTTAAAACCGCAGAAAGTAATCTTGAAATAAAAGAAAAACTTACATTTGGCAAAAGCATTGCCAGCTGTCTGTGGTTTCCGCTGTTTGTTCAAAGAACACTGGATCCAGTCACTCACAACAGATGCTGCCCACCCACAAGTCAGTGTCTTCATCTCTTCAATTTCAACTGCCTGATCACATCTTAAATATCTCAGATCAGTTTCTCGTTCTAGATTTGCAATTCCAACATCAACCTTTAGAGAAAAACAAAATTATAATTCTCATTACATTATACATCTATCACAGAAAACAATAGTATTTGCTGTTACATAAAAACTGTTTCTAAAATGTATCAGCACTGCAACATTTAAATTTGTCTTTACCTGAGGTAAACTGCCTCACAAACATAGGCGTTCTAGGTCATTGACGTTCACATTTAAACACTTTCCTTTGCTTTCGCTGGATGCAAAAGCACAACGGCGCACGATGGAAATAGGATCCCATCACTCATGCAAAGCAATAATTCCTCAATAAGTTATTATAATAAATTACTGGTGCTTGTGTGTATGTCATGGATAGCATAAGGTCATTTGGTATAACCGTCTTCGCCGTAGCAGAAGATAAAACAATTCACTAATATTCCTCTTTATATTAAATTTTTCTTTCAAATTCAATTTTATTCAAATAATTTTTGACAAGATTAGTAAATAATGTCATTTTCCATCAGCTTAAGTCAAACTTATTTTAGAATTTAGAAAAGTTCACAGAAAATGTACAAATTATAAAATCTTTTTTGGTTAATCATATTTTAATCTACCAGGAATAGGCTACTTACACTAATTCTTGTTCCAGATATATCAAGGAATTCCAGCTTCTTAAATACTAATAAAAATCCTACAACGTGATCAGACAGTTGAGGATTGCCTAGAAAGAAAAAATTATCAAAAAGCAGATTACAAAATTTTGTTTTCTCATTATTTTTTAAGAAATACCGGTAATAAGAATAATATGTATTATTATACATCTAACCTTCCAAGGATACATCATGGGAATGCCGAAATCCAAAAAGTTTAGAACAGAATCAGCGAACTCCTTGTATGGAGTAAAACCCTGATGGCAGCCATGTTTGTTTTTATTATTAGAGGACGCCTATGCGCGTAATCATTCCATACTTGGAATTAGCATTTCCTTATATGGTAGGAGGAAAATACCCCGTAAAATTACGGTAGGAACAAAGTGACATATATGGCGTAAATTATGAAATCAACGTCCCTGTATTTGGTTGTGCGGTCATGCTGGAGAAAATAGCAAACCACGCAACAGATTACCATATACTAGTACACCTACTTACATGAGTACGTTACAAGTGCACATCATTAATAGAGGGTATAACTTTATGCAAACATTGTATTGTGAGCACATGACATTAATATAACCTAATGTAAGCATCAAATCAGATGACTGTGAAAGGCAATTGGTTCATAAAAAAAACATTTAAGTACAAAGGTATACTGAAAATAGTGATGTTGGTGACTAACCAGACAGGCTTAGGTATCGCAAGTTTACAGGGCCGGTGTGAAACATGCGTGGTCTTGTGGTCAGCCTCTGAATGCCAGAATTTGTCAAACAATTCTGGCTCAAGTTCAGACACCTCAAACTGAAATGAACAAATACTTTATATATTATAGTATACTTTACTTATTTACTTACAACAAAATAATTAAAAACAATGAGAAAAGCAATTGAAACAATCAAATGAGAAGCCGAAATGATTGCCAATGTTTGGACACACTGAAAATGATTGAAAATTGTTCGTACATATTTGCTGCACCGCACACAAAAAGGTGTTTTCTGTTTACTGAGAGATCTCACGTAATGCGAGAAAAGTGTAGATCAAAAAAAAAAATCAAAAAATCGTATTTCATTCTGAACTTAAATTTTTTTTTTATAGTTCAAAATCAAAATGCTGATCTTTCAGAGAGAAATATGGCATTGACATATTCTTACATCATAAACATCAAACATGTAAATCACATTAAGCATGGAAATACCAAAAAAAAAAAATTTTTTGGAATCCCACATGACAACAACACTATGTCCTTTGTTAGTCTTGTTTTTACGTTCAACTTCACTTTATAACACAGGGTCTCACAGCGAATGGAAAATGGTCTATTCAGACAAGCAAATACAGATCAAAGTTCCAATACAACTTTAGAAATGATCCCATAGTGCTGGTACTTACCATGAGCATGTTTGATATATTCATCACCATATCATGATCGCTTCCAAGCTCACAATTGCTTAAATCCAGTTTAGCTACATGAATAAACAGAAGCAATTGATCTACGCATTGATTCAAAGCAAAATACTGATTGTTTAAATTTAAACTTTCCAAAACCTCTTGTTCGTATGCATCACAGAACAACTTCATTGCTCTACACTGCAGGTGTGTGTCCTTGAACTTGTCATGCAACTCTGCCAAGTCAAAGAGTTGTTTTCCTATCTGAGAAGGAAAACCGATGAAGGAGTCCACTAGAGTCAGGTGGTGAATAACAAAATCCATTGCAAAACACAGAAGTGACTTGGGTTGCTGGCATTCTTTATTGAAATGTTTTTCTGGACTAGTGACAACTGATTTTTCATTGCACTGGTCCGAGTTTGTACATTCCTTGCTATGTTTTAGTCGTTTCGGAGGTGGTAATCTGCATGCATTACCATCCCTTCCAGAGATGCATCGCAGTGCTCCTGCCTCATTAACATAAACTACTCCACTGTCTTCTTGTGGTGTTGATGCCATCGTTGTGTTCAGGTCTGCTCCCAGAAACCTTTGATTAATTCAACATGCTGGCCAATATTGCATGTGTATAAATGTATACCTTATAGGATGCAGCAATCTGAAATGTAGGGATATAGCAGAAAAATAGGAATTATTTTTGGTGGACGGTTGACTCATCCCAAAGCATATTCCTCCCAAGTGGATTCGTCCCAATGTCGATACGACTGATATATCGTGGTCACGCACTCATAATGCATAGGTCAGCACCCCGAAGACTGAACCCCAGTAGTTTATTGTATTACAATTTGCAATACGTTAATCCGTCAATTGTCAAATCAAGTTATTCTTCATATTTCATGATTATAGTAGAATTAATTTATGTGCTGAAGTGATGGTTAACATGGTAAAAGTTGTTTTTTTCTGAATATCGGGAAATAAAGTAAATAATCTCGTCAAGGCGTTCAGATTGTATTTTATATGCATCAAGCTTGATTGTCTTGTTAACAATATACAAAGTCACATGTTCAGATGGTATTATTGTTTCTAGTTTGTAAAAAAAACACACAACAAGGACTAGGACATATATGTACATAGAACTTGACAACTCTTTTCACACCAACAAGGGAATCAACATCACCCTACACAAGATCGTAAGGCTAACCAAAGGCAATGGGACGAAAGTGTATTGGGACGAATGTGAATTAGGACGAAAATGAATTGGGGCGAATATGAATTGGGACAAATCGACTTACTTGACGAATGTGTTGGGTAAATGTGAATTGGAACAAATGATTGACATGTGGGACGAATTTGTTGGGACAAATGTGAATTGGAACAAATGATCGACATGTGGGACGAATGTGTTGGGACAAATGTGAATTGGAACAAATGATCGACATGTGGGACGAATATGTTGGGACAAATGTGAATTGAAACAAATGATCGACATGTGGGACGAATGTGTTGGGACAAATGTGAATTGGAACAAATGATCGACATGTGGGACGAATGTGTTGGGACAAATGTGAAA